ACTATCAATTAGAATAGGGGTCCTATAAGGGTTCCTATAAGGGGTATCATGTGGTGTTTTCTTTTATGTAGGGGCCTTGATAATTAGAATAGTGTTTTGGGTATGTTATCCCATAAATCCCATGAGCATGATAAGGAACTGCAAACTAGTATTGGTAGTTGATGACTGAGGCGCCTACATTCGGATTTCCGATTTAGGTTGTTATAAGTTAGGTACGGCCCCCACTCAGTAATAGTTGAATAATATTCATAATATAGATATAGTAGGACCTTAATAGTAGCCCTATTATAGACTCTTACTGTATGGGGGCCATACCTAAGTTATAAGGGTCTTAGGGGCCCAGTTCTTTGGGGTTTGAGGGCTTTGGCTTCTGGTGGGTTCGGGTTTTGCAAGGTTGTTTTGGCTTCGGTGTTTCTGGTTTTGGGATTGTTGGGAGGGTCTGTCTAGGGGGCTGGCAGCTTTAGGAATTGAGAGCTGAGGGTTTTGGTGCTTGGGGGTTTTGGGTAATTGTTGGGGTGTCGAGGGTTTTGGTTTGAAGTTTGAGGGTATGATCTTTGCTCTTAAGCACGGCAGAAGTTGAAGTCATGTGTGAGCCTGGTAATTCGTAGCATTTTCCTGGACAGTCTTCATAAATCTTCCGAACCCTAGGCCAGAAAATCTAGATATCTAGTGTCGCCAGTCCTTGTCGTAACCATGCAGGCCTCTTTATCAGAGCCTTCTTTTGTCGTCTATGGCTGAGCAGAGCGTCCTATGACAGTTGCGCTGGGTGACAATGCCTGCAGACCCATGCTTGGGTTCGCTTCAGTGTTTAGGGCCTTAAGTTAAAAGCCAGAAAGTTGGAACATGATTATCCTAACCCCTTTAAGGTAATTTATAGGGGATCCTACTATTAATCCATATTCCAACTTTCTGGAGTTCCCCTTAGGGTTCCGACGCTTTGCTGCGGGGCTTTTCTGGGCTTTTGAGGGTCCACTGCCGGATATCGGCCCGAGCCGGTGGTCTCTGGCGGAAATGAAACAATCCTGAATCTTGAACTGCCAACCCTCAACCCCGGACGCTAAACCCCAATTCCTAACATGCACAGACATCGGCAGAGCAGAGCAGCCCAGCAACGACCGTCAAGAGCTGGACGCCTTCAGATGAGGCAGCATAGCAGAACGAAGCCGCAGGCCTCAAGCCCGTGTCCCGAGACCTCATGAGGGCAAGGTTCAGGGTTTAGGGGTTCGGGGTTAGAGGTCAGGTATCTGTAAATGAGTAAGAGTACATGACGCACTAGCCGAACTCACCTGTATCAAATGTCACCCACCGCAGGTGCTGGACGAGAGGCTCCGCCAACATGGTGTCGAGCGTTTCGGCGAAGGCAGGACAGGAACGAAGTAGAAGAGTGTTTAATCGCTGACGATTTGGCATTTGAGGCTGGATTACAAAGCTCGAGGGCAGAAGGCTTAAGTTTCAGGGTTCAGAACGCAAGCTCTAGGGTACTGACGGCATCGGTCTGACTACAAGAGTTGTTTAGATGTCCCTGTTTCTGAAGTAGGGCTTCCGCGTAGACAGAGCACTAAGACCCGGATATGTGCATATTGCGTGGGTAGTTCTCTGGATTGATTAAGCTCCTTCTTTTGGATCCCCACAAGCGTAGGTCATGCTCATAGGCTTCTAACCCTAAACCCCAAGCCCCTAAACCCAAAACCCATTAAAGATGCTTGTGGTATGGATCCAAAACGGGGCCAAGCGAAATTATGAACTTACCTAAACCCTAAACCCTAAACCCTAAGTGTTTAGATGTTGCGACCCTGGTCCTCCGCTTCCAAAACCCTGAGCTCCTAACATGGGGGCCTTACTGTTAGGGACCCAAAAAGCACATAAGCATAAGCATTTTATGGGGATATCCCTACCTTATTGGGCTTCATTATAAGGGGATTTATATGGGATATCCCTATCCTAATTTTTCCTTATGTGCTTTTTGGGGGCCTTATAATCACATTTATTTTTGAGGGGGGTTCCGTATTATAGTTATAGTACTAATATACCCCAAAGCCCCATTCTAACTACTAAGGCCCCTATATTGGAGCCGTAAACCCTGAACCCCTAAGCCCTGAACATGAACATCCTGAGCCGTGGCTCTCGACACCTGGGGCCCGAGGCCTGAGAATCATCAGAGCACTAGCAGTTTTGAAGCATTAGGGTTTAAAGGGAACTCCAGAAAGTTGGAATATGGTTTCAGGGTAGGATACCTTATAATTTGTCATAAAGGGTTTAGGATAATCATATTCCAACTTTCTGGCTTTTACTTTAGGGTTTTGAAGCCGGGATAGAGGCAAATGATGAACTCGGCAGCCTTTCTTATAGATTTTCATAGGGATCCTTAGGGGTGTAGGGGGGAGGGGTGTAGGGGACTATATTTCCTTAAATAGGCCTTATTAGTCCTTATTATGGGCCTTAAGGCCCCCTACCCCCCCTCCCCCTACACCCCTAAGGATCCCTATGAGATTTCCTGTTCAAGAAATATTTCTGAGGCCTGGAAGTTTTTTGCAAAGTCAGAGGTGACAGAGACCTTAAACCCTAAGACACTAAACGGTTTAGGGTTTAGGGTTTAGGGTTTAGGGTTCACTAAACCTTCAATCCTGAACGTTACACATTGAAGCCCCGCACCCGAAAGCCCCAAAAGCCTCAAAACCCACGGGTGACAGAGACTAAACCCTAAACTCCCAAACCCGACAGGGAACCCCAGAAAGTTGGAATATGGTTTCATGGTAGGATACCCGATAATTTACCATAGAAGGGTTAGGATAATCATATTCCAACTTTCTGGCTTTTACCTTAAACCTGAAAAACAGACCCATGGGCCCCTTCCCAGGGACCAAGTTCATCGCGCGGGTCCAGAGTGGCCAGCTCACGAAGCTCTTCACGGAGTTTGCATTTCAGGCACCGGAGGGTAGGGGTTACCATGATTACCCTAAAACCCTAAACCCGAAACCCGACGCCCTAAGGTTTGCCTAGGGTCCTGTTGTTTGGATCTGAGTTGCTGCAGTTTTTCAGAAAAGACTCCCTGCACCCCCACATAGGTTCGTAGTGTTGGCCAGCTCCGAACGAGAAAAAGACACCTGAGTGCGTAAATAAGTATTAACTGTTGATGTTAGGAAAAGGCTTCAGGCAGTATACGGAATATGAAGTCTGAGCAGTTGACTGTTTTTTGGGGTTCCTTATTGCGGTGATACTGCAATCTACCCCCGAAGCCCTATTCCAATTATTCAGGTTCCTTGGGGTTCCTTGTTATGGTTATAGAATAGTATACCCAAAGCCCTGTTCCATTTACATGCCCGTATATTACAGGAGTCATTCGCAGTCCTAGACGACAGGACCGTGGGAACCAGATCTTCAGGTATACAAACCCAGAGAGCCTAATTGCCCCTAAATCGAAGAATGTACCCTTTTTGGATATGTGAGTTTCCGAAAATAGGGGACCCTAATACAGGACCCTATATACTAGGATCCTTACTACAAGGACCCCCAAATAAGGTACCCCTGATTGTCGGAAACTCCCATATGGACTGGGCTCATTGTATTCCGCTTACAGGCGGATACATGATGCACTAAACATATTAGGGAAAAATATTCACCAATATTTTTCCCCAATATGTTTAATATTTTTTGCCCAATATGTTTAATATTTCTTCCCCAGTATGTTTAGGACCCCAGAGCTTCAACGGATGAACCCACCACACCCTCAACTCCTATAAACCCTAGATGCCTGAAAGAAACCCCTGAACCCGAAAGCCCCAAACCTAAACCTTAACCCCTGAACCCCAAAACCCCAAACCTGAAGCTAAATTAACCCTTCAAAACCCCTAAACCCCTCAAAACCCCCAAACCCTAAACCCATCAAAACCCCTAACCCCTCAAAACCCCTAAACCCTCAAAACCCCTAAACCCTAAATCCCAAACCCCGTAAACCCCTAAACCCCGAAGCCCAGATCCCTGGCGACCAGGAGACCTTCGAGCGAGCCAGAGACAAAGGCGGACTCTGGAAGCTCCTAGAGGAAAGGCTTCCCGGTCTTTTTAGGTTCAGGGTTTTCGCAGGGCTTAGGTTTAGGGTTTAGGGTTAGAGTTGAGGGTTTAGGTTTATGGGGTTTAAGAGGTGATTCTCTTCATGTGTGCTTTTACGAGCCCTCGAACCCATCGACAACGAACCCTTAAACTTCCCTTCCCACACCGCTTTCGCTAAACAGGAAACACCAAACCCTAAACCAGTAAACCCGAAACCCTGTACCCTAAGCCCTAGAACTTCAAACCCTTATAAACCCTAAATCCAAAACCTCGAAGCCTTAAAAAGCCCCCCTATAAGCCCCAAGCTCGGGGCCGCTCAGGTTCTCGAGCCTGGAAGACGAGTGGCGGGAGAAGGTGATGGTGACTGCTACAGGCAAGTTTCTTCAGCGTTTGAGTTTAGGGCTTAGTGTTTGTTCCTTCGAGATGGGTTGTAATTACAATAAAGGTCAGGAAAGGGTGCCATAGGGGCTTAGGACTGTAGGGTTTAGAGGCTTAGAGGTTTACGAGGCAGTTTGATTGGTAGAGATGCCCAGGCATTCCAAGCCATAGGCACTAAGCCCGTCCTTGCCGCCTGTCTTCGCATAGCACGCCTCTGTGAGCCCGCGCCAAATCATCAAAATCCTGATCTATTATTATTTCCAACGCTGGGAATGGGGCCAGGCTGGTTTACTGTGGCGCCCAGGAGATGCGCTGTCGGGGGTGTTGGCTGTCGTATTCAGCGAGGTTTCGGGAGTTTAGGGCTGTACTGGGCCAGCTTAGGCTTAGATAATCCCTGTCCAACGAGTCTTGGTCAGGACTGTACCCTAAGCCCGAAACCCTGAAAAAGGTCAGGAATGTGGATGCTTTAAGTGAGCCGCTGTTGACATCTTGGCCGCTCCCAGCCATTGCTAGGTTCCGCACACTCCCCACTTCCCACAGAACACTGTGGGGAAGTCAAAGCAAGGTGGAGTAGCATGATTCTGATGACCCTTTGGCTTCTTGTGATGACCTGCAGGGTCTGCAAGGCCTCTTCCGAGTCTTGTACAACTGACGGCACGTCTTTGCTGACAGTGAGGGATGCCGAGGCCAAGACCACCCAGGACAGTGTAAACCAAAAGCTGGCGACCTCACCTTGGGTCGGGGGTTGCAGGGTTTCGGCATTCAGGGTTTCGGGTTTAGGGTTTGGGGCCTGCATGGTGTTTGTTAGGGAATAGTAGCAGCATGGCCTTCTTTCAGGCTACGAAATCATTGCAACTTGCCCATCAAGGACCCAGAAATCCCAGTTTGGAAGCCGTTCACGGACGATGGCCTCTGCCAAGCGGTTGCCGGCGAGCATGGCACGAAATTCAAGATCAACAGGCTTGGCTTCAACTGTGAATCAGAGGCAGGATCTACAACGAAGGGTTTGGGGGTTTAGTAATATAGGGACCTAGATTATTACCAACACTTGTTTGGGGGTTCCTCATTGTAGTTATAGAAAATGAGCCCCAAAACCTTAAGGTTTGAATTCGTTCCCCCACTCTGTAACCCGACCCCTTGAAGCCTAGAATCCTGGACCATACTGCTTCGGAAAAGGTGCCAGCTAGGAAATGTTCATATTCAGGGTGTGGGGAGAATCTGACTACTTATCCTTAGCTGATCTTGGAACTTGTTGTTCATTGTACCCTCGACTGTTGTTGAGTTGGAAGTAGGTCGAGGGGTGGGGGGGCGGAGGAGTGTGGGTCGCCCGCTCAAATCCTAAACCCCTGAACTGCCCAGAGACTCCAATGTCCCTCAATTAACCAACATTCCTTAAAGTATATTCCTTATCAAGCCCTTATAGATCCCTTAAAGGAACCCGAGGGTATACTCCTTAATTAAGGGGTCTTGGAGTCTCTTGGCACCTGCGCCGAACCGTGGGGGAGCAAGGATGGAAAACACAGGCTCAAGGAATGAAGGAAACGGATGAGGAAAGAGGAACGGGGGCGGGGCGGGGTTATGTGGTGGATCTTGGAAGGGTGAGATTATAATGGGCTATATAATGGGTATATAATGGGTATATTAAGGGTATATACCTAGGGGTCCTTATCAAGGGTTGGACTTCTTGAGGGGTGTCAACAGTTTGTTCTGAGGATCCACGAAGCTGCTTTGTGGTCCAGGGAGACCTAAATCTTTACTTCTGCAAGCCGCCGACAAAATTGGGGTCTGTAAGGTTTATATGGGTGGTTCTCAAAATTAGGTTCCCTTTTTGGGTACCCCAAAAAATTAGGTGCCGTACTATAACAAGGACCTCAAAAGGGACCATAATTGTGACAACCACCCATATAGGAATCAACAGGATCCAAGTCAGGGACCACATGAGGATTTCATGCAATGATTTAGTCCAGGGCTCAGATGAGCAAAGACCCTGCAATTGAAAGTATTGCGGTCACGGTGACTCTTTGAGATTTGGGCGGGTCATCTGGCTTTGTTATGTTCTGTTAAGGGAAGGGTTAATGTATGCTACCCACGCACTTGAAAGAAAGCCTCATATAGTCAGATCCTAAACTGGTTTGGTTCCCTTATGATTGGTGGTAACTGAATCAAATCTCTCAGCAAGAACCCAGTACATGTTTGGTGTTTATGTAGCCTAGGATGCCCAGTAGTACCCTTATTCCCTTTTTGAAGTCCTAGATTCCTTTGAAGTTACCCAATACCAAAAGGCGAGCCCTTTCTATTCCTAGGTTACTGGGCATCCTAGTAGCTCAAGCCAGATGCAGGGATGGTCTGCAGCTTCCATCGAATGGAAGGTCTTCTATGCAGTTACGCATGGACAGCCGGTACCTGAACAGTGCCTTGGGACATCCTTCACAGACATTTTCTTCCTCGCTGGGAGGAAGAAGTCCAAGCTGATACGCGACACGTTCATGGATCATGTGGACCCCAGCCAGACTTTGAATTCCCTGAACCACCGCTCCATGAATAAGCTGAACTTTGCACTGATGGTCACTTTGAGCTTTGGATCAGCCTCGACAATAGACCCTATTCGGATTGGACAAGGCAGCAGCTTTTTCAAAAATGATTGGTGGATTGGCGGTGAAGGCTGCAAAAGGAAATGCTTCTATGAAGACACTGACGGCTCGGAAAAGTTTATCCTGCAATGTGGTGAGCTTTGCTTCTCGCCAACTGGTGATCTAGATGCCAGCAGGTTCGACGTCAAGCGGGTGCCATGCTGCGACTTGGACCCTTCAATTCAAGCGCTGGCTACCTAAGTGCACTGAATTGCCATGTGTAGCCCGATTCATTTCTTCATGTTGAACAAGCCGCCTAGCTATACCATGATATTTATGAATCCCACAAGAAGGTAGACTGGAGTTTTGATACCTTTGATACCACTCGTACTCCCAGTGCACTCCGGTTTGCGCCCACCTTAAATCGTCTCGACCCCTAGATCTACCGCGAAACCCTAGACCCTTCCTCTGGAGGTTGGAGTCGGTTCACAGACGATGGCCAGTGCCGAGCAAGTGCTGGTAGAGAGGGCACCCAACTCACCCAGAACGTTATAGGTTTCAATTTCCGGGATGGTCCCTGGTCTGCTTCACCTGCCTCTTCAGTTGCTAGGCTCCTGAGCAGTACCCTTTTGCCCTTTTTGTTGCATGGTTTCCGTCTTAGAACTGAATAACAGGAAAAGGGCACCCTTCTTCTTAAGGGGCTACTGGGGAACCGAGGCTTTAAAACTAACTAACCCTTCTAGAACCCTTCTTTAACCCCGTACAAACCCTTGTAGATCCCTTTCAACGAACCCTCATAGAACCGTTATAGATCCCTTTAAAGGAACCCCTTATAGATCCCTTTCAAGGAACCCCTTCTTGATCCCAGCAGAGGTTGCTTTCGATCCAAAGTTCTACCTGGTCACGCACGGGCAGCCCGTGCGGCAGCGATGCCTTGACATCTCGGGCAGTGAGATCTCCTTCTTTGCTGGGAGGCCCGAGTATAGGGGCCTTATGTAATTTCGTAATTAACAAGGTTCCCTTGAAGGGGTCTATAAGGGTGGCTACTCTAAGGGTGCTATAATTTAGGGGCATTATAGTAGTTGCCTATACTATTTTGGGGTTCCTTACTATAGTTATAATGTAATATACCCCCAAACCCTATTCTAATTATTAAGGCCCCTAAAGTAGCCAGGGACTTCAGGATTTTGATTCATCCACCGACCTTTGTGGCGAGTTCGAGAGGTTTTCCGAGCTGGCACGTTCCATTGTTCCCACATTACCCCCCATCCCCCCCGCTTGCCATGTCGGGCATGGATGTGGACATCGCAGCAGGGCCGCATGGAACCTGAAAACCACAAGGTTACATGACCCTACCTGTGATGCGTGGGGCGAGAAATGCCCCCCTCCCCCCCAAAGATGCTGATGATGCTGGCTTGGGCCAGCATCATCAGCCTCATTGCGCGGTGGTTTTAGGAACGACGGGTTGGAGGGCTTTAACGCGCATGTGCTTGTGGAGTTTTTAGGCTTACTGACGCTCATGACGCTGTCCTCCTCCTGCAGGGCTTGAGGAGACGGAGATATACATACCAACGGAAACGGGCTCTTTTTGGGCAAACTTGTAACATAGGGGCCGAAATACCAATACTATTGTTGGGGTCCGCTGTTATATTTCTAGCATAATATACCCCCAAAATCCTAGTCTTATTTTTAAGGCATAGAGCAGCCTATGATACCCCTTATGGGAACCATTAGAGGACCCTTTTAAAGGCCCCTCTGATGACGTGTGCGCCAGCGAGGAATCATCCCTGCAGAGTTGGGTGGGCTGACTTCTCGGGGATGGTCTAGCCGCCTAGCCCGCTCCTTGCGGAAGGGTGGGACCGTGAGTCTTTGCCCAAAGTCCGAAGTAGCAGTATTCTGGGTGGGATTAACTTGGAATTGTTTTTGTTCACATAAATCCCAAGAGAGTATTGTACAAGTTACTTTTAATATGGATGGCTTTGAGGATGTTATAGTTTAGCCAGAAATAACCGAATTTCCGATAGCCTGCTTCGCTGGGAGGCAGAAGTCCGCAATGCCTGGCAACGTCTTCATGGAAGGTCTGGATTGCAACAAGACCATGAGTTCTCTGAAGCAAGATTGCCCGGGCAAGCTGAACTTCGTCTTCGAAGGGAAGCTGACTCTTCATGGCCACTCTTCCACCGATCTTCGGATTGGTCAAGGCAGCTCAACCGAACATGATTATGATTGGTGGCTCGGCGGCAAAGACTGCCAACGGAAGTGCCACTCCCGAGGGCGTTACGGCCTGAGCTGCGGCGGTCTCTGTTTCACGCCTACAGAAAATGCCACTACCTTCGACGTCAAGCCTTGGCCGTGCTGTGAATGGGACCCATAGTTTGTGGGCTTTCAGAAGGCAGCCGCTTCAGATCGCAATGTCACTGAAGTCTGTATAGTTCGCAGTGCCACGCCCAGCCGGCGGCGCAGTTTGCGTGACAAGAAGTTCATGCCACAACCTCAACAAACAAGGGCGCCGGCATGTCATGATGTTCCCTCCGTCGTGAAAGTGTTGGCATGGACCCTTAAATCCCAATCCCTTCAACTTGTTCCCTTAAGCCCTTAAGCAGGACATGGTGAGGGCAAGGACGGGGCATCTACGGGCATTTGCCTTGCACAGCGATCGTCCTCGAATTATTCGTGCCCATGTATGAAAAGGTCGTTGAGGATGCCCCCCTTAACAAAAACACTAGCAGCATAAGTTTCTGAAATTCAAAAAATCTCCGGAATCCGAGGGTAGTTGGCTCTGCGGGAAAGCCTTGGTGACATGGAGTAAGAAAGGGCCTAAATAATTACCAATACTTCCTTTTTTGAAGGGGGGGTCCTTATTCTAATTGTAATATAGTAAGGGGCGCCAAAACCCTATTCTAATTCTTAAGGCCCCTACAGCAGGCCTTTCATCTGGAGGGTTCAAGATCCCAAGTCTTAATTTGGGGCTCAGGCTTGTGTCCTTGATATGACTTTGCTGTCTGAAACTCGAAACTAAACACCTTACAAACACGGTTACAACACACCTGAAAGAAACACTGTGAGGGTTTAACTTGAAGTTTTGTTGTGGACAGCCCCGGCTGGAAGAGGTGGCGAGGAGCTGTCGCAAGATAGCGAGCCTCTGGAAGATCAGTTTCCGGCGCCCCGGCAGTTGTATCGGCTCTTGACGGTCTAGGGCAAGGGGCTTCGGGTTTCAGGATTAAGGTTGCTAGGGTTTTGCGGGTTTTGGTTTCGGGGTCTAGACGGTTTCAAGGTTTTGGGTTCAGGTTCCTGGAAGAGGCCCAAGTGTGCTGAGCCAATGAGCTGCAAACAACGTGATGATCCAATGCGCTGAAGTTGCGACTTAGTGCTTTGACTTTAAGTCCATTTAGCAGCCAACCATAATCATAAGGCCCAAGCGTAGACAGGTCTTGGGTATACGATTGAAAGACAACCAGAGCTGCTAAAGTCGGTAAGCTGCACAAGTATCACACACTTCCAGTCCCAAATGTTGCGAGGTGCACATAAGATATCCAAAGTCAGCCGACAAGCTCATCACCGAGCTGACTGCTGACAGCTTTCCGCTGACGCTGATCTTCAAGGAGTACCAGGCAGGCTCCTGTCCTCCCAAAATCTCGCGACTTGCTCCCGATTGAGGGGCTCAGAATCTAAAACTACTTACACCCTAAACTCTCCTTGTCTAGGGGGCCTTTCGGAAGAAGGGATTGGGGCAAGCATTGCGGAGCTTTAAATCTCAACCACCCAAGGAGAAGCTTGCCCAAAGCCTCGACTCTGCAAGACACGTCTGAGATGAAGATGCAATGGTTTAGGAAAAAATGGCATTCAGAGTTTAGGTCTTCAATGGGCAGACAACTTCAGTTGGCGATTTTCCACGAGCAGCCGACGATAGCGTTCCTGACGATTAAGTCAAAGTAAACGCCCGAGAATGACCATTTACGGCAATTTAAGGCTGTACTTCAAGCCCACGATAGCAAAATAGAAAAAAACACCGAAAGCCCTAAAGCCCTAACCCCTAAACTTCCCTAAACCCTTACACCCCTAAATCCCGAGGCCCAAAGCCCAGCACTTGGTGTGTCCTCCAGGTCAACATCGACACTTCCGGCACCGGCTCTGGGGCTCCGGTGGAGGCAGGGTGTCACCAAATCCCTGAGTGCGAATAGAAGAGGGTTTAGGGTTTCGGGTTTCGGGGTTTAGGGTTCAGGGCTTGGACACCTAATGTATAGAATGCAAATAGAAGAGGGTTTGGGGTTTAGGGCTAGAATATTAATATAGGGAACCCCGTAAAGTTGGAACGTTGGAACATTTGATTTTAGGGTGATCAGTGCCGGGTTTCCCTTTTCTTTAGTGTCTAGGGTATTAGTATGCTGATGTACCAGCTCTCTGGAGTTTACTGCAGAAGAAGGTTTCGGGTTTAGGTTTCAGGGCAGTAGTAGTTGCCGTAGCGTTGCAGCAGCAGTTCTTGCATGCAGTCTACTTAGTAGGGCTTGTAGTAGCAGCAGCACCCGTAGTGGTAGTGGTGGTGGTAGGAGCAGTAGCGCAGTCTTTCTAGACCACTCCAACGCTGCCCAAGCATATGAGAAGACCGCGAACATCCAAGACAGACGCGATACTTCCATAACGGCGGTTAGGAGACGAATAGTGTGGCCTTGCCAAGTCTTGAGACATCCTAGATTTCAACACTTCGAGCAGTTTGACGGCCAGAACGGGCCTCTGGATTTCGCAATGAATTTGGCGTCTCTGGTAATCTATGTTATGAAACCTCGTGCAAAAATTGTGCTGCAACATACTGTAGCGTAAGACATTATACACTGTGGTATTGCATGAGGCAACCCTGAACCCTAAACCCTGAACCCTAAACCCTAAACCCTGCAACGCGATACCATTGTACCGGAAGGGAGCTTTTTGAGTTAGACCGGAGCTGGACTCTGGAGAGACAGTTCCGGCTGCGCGACGTTTCACTTTGAACAGGAATCCCCTGGTGTTACGACTCGTTTGGGAAGTTACGCACCAATATTGAGAGCAGCGATGATGATGAAACTAGGCATCGTAGCAACAGAAGCAGCCCGAACAATAGCACGAGATCACCTGCCCAGCTTCGAGTCGCAGTGGGCTCCGACTGATTCCTGCTTTCTTAGACCTAGTAACCTAGTATTAGAGCAGGTAACCTTTGACCTTTTCGGGGTGCTATAAGCCCAAGCAACACCAAAGGAGGATGCTGGACAAGGACACCCTATAGGACCCTACAAGACCCTACCCTGCTTTTAGCAGAATCGCTGAAGAGGAGACCTTCTTCGTGAATGAAGCTGGGAAGGTCGTCGTTCGCGACGACGTAGGCGTGGCCGCGAGATGGAGCCTCGGCGGGAAGATTTTGAACAGGACTTGTACAAGGCCTAGGGTCCTTGGTGGGAACCATAGGAGGTCAAAAGGGGCTTTAGCCTATGGGGGTTTAGTAGGGGTTAGGGTTCCCATAATAGGGTTCATCCCCCTTTTGGCCTCCCATCAGGGAAGAATTTGAAAGTTGTTTCAGGGTTTTAGGATGGTTTGGGGTTCAGGGTCAGGGTTCGGGTTTAGGGAAGCGGGTTTGGGTGTTTAGTAAGGTACCATGGAACCCAAGAGTAGCATCCACAATATCAGCTCGTTTAGGTAACCGTACCCTGGATAGGCAACCGTAAATCTGAATTTTGCTGGCAAGATCCCTAAACCCTAACCCCTAAACCCTAAACCCCTAAACTCTAAACCCGGAACCCCTGAACCCTAAACCACTAAACTCCAAACCCTAAACCCCTAAACCCCAAACCCCTAAACCCTAAACCCTAAACCCTAGTGCTTCTGATCTCCAGTATCTCGTGTACATTGCCTTCTCTTATAACTCTGCTGCACCTTATCCTAACACCCCCGAGCCCTGGGTCCTTAGAGACTAAACTCCGAAACCGCGGGCGGAGCAGAGAAAGAGCCTTTGCACCTATAAACAAAAACAACTCCGAAACCATGGCTAGGTGGGCCTCTGGGGCATTTTATAAGTTTTTTCTGACTGGGTAGTAAGAGGATCTTATTGACGAATATTTTTCGCGAAGGTTTCGGAGGGCCCGCCTAAGCCCTAAGCACGCCCTTCAACATGTGCCTTCAGCTCGTCCGCTTCTGGGACAAGCACACGGCATCAGTGTGATCGGCACGGGTGTTACTAGTTTTCCCAAGCGTCATGAGCAGGATTGGAACCCCGTCACCTAAACAACCCGAGGCCCCAAAAATCTGAACCCTAAATCCTGGCCCGAGGCCCTGCTAAACAGAGCCATGGTTTGGGGCTTCTGTTTGAAGGTTCAGCGGGTTAGGGGTTATGTTCTTTCCTTTCCCTCCAGGAAAGACTCCAGCACGGACGTCTGCTTACATCCTGGAGATTGGATCATCGAAGCCAACAGTAGCTTGGCTTTTCCTTTTTGCAGTCGCAGAACTGATCGATCATTGCTTAGGGCTGCTGGGGACCTAGAAACAATGATTATGGGGATGCTTTCTTGTTTGCCTCGTTTAGCCTTTGCACGAGCAGTAAATGTCTTGTACAATCATAGTACAGAACCGCCCAAAACCCAAGTCAAGCTATTCAGGCAGCCATATTGATCCGTGAAACCAATGCCTTGCGAGTTGTGTTGGGGTCCTAGACCTGGAACGCTACGCAAGGGCGCGCAAGCAACAGTCGCACGCATGCAAGCACTGCGCACCGTGCGCGCTAGAACCTCACGCGTGCAACTAGGCGTGGGGCAGCTAAGAATGTTGAGATCCCAAAACTGTTCAGGTGCTGAAATGCGCAAGGGCGCAATCTAAACCCTAAACCCTAAGCTTCAAACGTGAAGTGACCTCAGGGGCCGCAAATGAGGGAAAGTTGTTCAGCTGAACGGCACTCACATTGATGCGCAAATTGTTGGGGTGAAAGGATTCAGTAGACCTACACCCTCAATCTTCCATCCATCAGACCCTAAAATGCCTATTTAGGATATATATATATATATAAATTTCTTTATTTATTTATGTATATTGGTTTATGCATGTTTTTATATTATATACAGTTACATATGCATTATTATCACTACTACTTTATTATTCTTATTATTATTGTTATTATTATTGTTGATTCTTATTATTAACATTATTATGATTGTTATTGTTACTATATATATATACAGATAGTTACATATATACCTCATTTAGGAACCATACACCACCAAGTGAGGGCAGACCCTAGGAGGTTTTGCTCGCCGCTCTTGTGAGGCGTTTCGGTAGATCCGGAGGGCATTCTGCGCGAGCTCGCAAAGGGAGGGCAGCTGCAGGCGTGGGTTTAGGGTTTAGGGGCGTAGGGTTTAGGATTTTGGCTTTAGGGGTTTGAAGTCTTCGGATTTGTGTGGTCTTGGTTTCAGGGTTGAGGCTTAAGAGATCAGGGTTTGTAGTTTACAGACTTGGGGGGCCAATACCTGTGCGGGCTATGTAGGTGTTCATGCAAGAAGGCCGGGTTTCCTTGAAATTCGCATTCGACACCTCTGCTGGTTTAGGGTTTAGGGGTTTAGGGTTTAGGCTTTTGCATGGCTTTCGTGGGGTTCTACAGCATTTCTACAGGGAGTCTTCGGCTCAAGCCTTTGCTTCCCGTCACCTAACATATAGGCTCCTAGAATAGCACCGAGGTGACAAAAAAAAAACAGCAAACAAGACGCTTGTATATAAACCCTAAAGCAGCGATTGCAACACAGTATACTCCCTCTCAGACCTTGTACAATCCCCTATAGGACACATAACCTTATAGCAGCTTCTTAAAAAACCCTACTGTTCGCGTGCCAAAACCTTGCGCAGGCGTTCTAGCCACTTCGAACTCAGAGCTTGAGGTTTTACTTTATGAGCCTGGTGTCATGCGCAACTGCAGGCTTGTCGGTGTTGTTTACAGGTAAAGAGACGCGGGGTTCAATGCAACCCAGAGGTCTTTCACCGGGCATGTTACGGGGCAAAGCCTTTCCATAGGCGGCATGGCTTCGAATCCCTCAAACCAGGAGCTTTGGACACAACCTGATAGCCTAAACCCACTCCAGACCCCAAACCGCTAAATCCAAAACCTCGAATCCCTAAAGCGCTAAAGCCTCAAGCTCTCACACGAAGCGCGCAATGCAAACAAGCTTCCTTGACAGGTGCGTGTACAGCAGCAAGGAAGTATCTTCAAGACTGACGTACCTCGACGGTTTAGTGCCGAGGGAAGGGAGTCTGGACCCGACAACTGTGGTGCTTTTTGTTAGGTACCTTAGTTTCTTTCTATAGGTTCCTAGTCACAACATAGGTTGTCCAAAGAGAGATACTACATCCTAGGATGTTGTATCTTCAAGGCTGATATTTTGGATTCACCCTCGAACTCTTCCTCCGCAAAAGCATGGAAAGGCATTTAGGACTTTGAGTCCAGGTTTAGGGTTTAGGGCAGGGTTTAGGGTTTAGAGCAGGTCTGCAGTGTTTCGGTCTATTCTAGACTACTGCATTTCGATCTTGAGGCTGGATGGGATTCTGGCTTGGTTTCAAGGCGGGTGGACCGTAAGCCGTAAGCCGCAATGTAGGGGCCCAAATAACTACCAATACTATGTTTGGGGGTCCCTTTTCACTATTACAGTATAATGGGCCCCAAAACCCTATTCTAATTGACGCGCTAATTCTTCAGGCCCCTGCAGTAGGCCTCAAGCCGTGGAGCTTCTAAGCTTGAACCTTACCGAGGTCTTCAACTCCCAGGACGACATGCGAAATCGGCTGCAAAGTCAGGCCTGGTGCTGCTCGACCGGAGACCGCAACCTCCTACTGTAGGGGCCTTAACAAATAGAATAAGGTTTTAGGGTAATTATACTATAGCCACAATAAGGAATCTCCAGAACCCTATTCTAACTATTAAGGCCCCTACATGAAAGCTTTCTAGCCCCAACCTACCAAAATTCCGATAGGAATCCCTCAAGTCCCAAACCCCTTGGACCCGGAACCCTTGACCTACACCATGAAGTTTTCTAGGGTTTAGGGTTTAGGGTTTAGGGTTTAGGGTTTCAAACCTTTCATAGAACACTGAATAGAAGCCTTGATGGAAACTCCAAACCCTCAGCCCACCCGTCCACCTAAGCTCCAGAACCATAAGCCGCCTAAACCCTGGGTTTTCATCTTGCAGATTTCCATTTATGAACCTTAAACGGAACGATAAAATCTCAAAAGGATCCCGCCAACGAATGCTGAAACAAAACCCTGCTGTAGGGGTCGTGTAGTTTTTACTGGTGCTGTTGTTCAGGGCTCCTGTCTGTCATTCTACCAGTAGTAGAAAAAACGGAGTAGGGGCCTTGATTACATATACTATTTTGGGGACTCCTTATTATAATTATAGTATACTATTCCCAAAGCCATGTTCTTATTTTTAATGCCCATACAGTAAGCCCCCCCATAATACCCCTTAGAGTAATCCTTATAAACAGATCCCTTTGAAGGGAACCGTCTTCTAAGTGTTAAGGCCCCTAGATTCACCTTCAGTTGATCTTTGCAACGCAGGCGAAGCCCAAGCAGCTGCAGCTGCTGAGGTCCCGGCGTGTCGCATGGTCTTTGCATGTTTCCCTCTGGGTGGGGGTCGGGTGGCCTTAAAGGATCCCTTAAAGGATCCCTTATGGGGGGGGGGGGGGTTGGGGTGCGAGGGGGTTGTCGGGTTTACGGTGGGAGCAGTCTTGCGCCTGACTGTCACAGCCATTGCCCCTTATGTTTGTGTTGTTGTTCGTGCATCTGTACCGATGTCATAGCTTCATTCATATGAGTCATGTTGCCAGTATTCTTGTTATTGTGATGCTACTGCAAATTCGTTACTACTACTTCCACTACTACCTCTACTACAGTGTTCGGGGAGCTGCAGGCGTTACCGTAAGGTCGAGAGAAGGTGGAATATCACCCGAAGCTTAAGATTAAGCCCACTTCCACATGTTCACATCTCCATGCTTTCTGCCAGTGTCAGGAGGACCATGTCCAGGTATAGGCCTTTTTGAGCCACTGACTGGAGCTCGAATGAAGGGCAATAATTTCGCGACTCAGTGCCGCTGCCGTTGGCAGAAACAGTTAGACCGATGCTGAAGCTGCGATAGCTTTTTGCTGTCGCTGCCATCATCATGATGACGACCACCGTCATCATGCCACCGGCATCATCATCATCGGCATCATCATCATCATCATCATCATCCTCATCATCACCATCATCATCGGCGTCATCGCTTGTGTCTCACGGATGTACAGATAGGCTGTATGCTCTCTTCTTGTAGGCACAATTTCACCAGTTTGTTTGGCCCCGAAGCTCTGACCGTAAACCCGTACTTCTTCCTCATCCCTCGCAACCTTCCTGGGAGGCAGCATGCGAAGGGGCTGCCTCTCCTTTGCGTGTGCGGAGGTAAACTCCAGGCGGATCCATGACCTGTGAATGTTGTTGGGCTCGAATGCTGTGGTGACGACAGTCTTTCCGGATTTAAGAGTTGCCCAGCTTTAGCTACGAGATTGAGCACATACCCAGGCGTCACGATGATGGTGATGCTGCTGATGACGATGATGCTACGACTGCTACGATGTTGATGGTGACATGACGATGATGATTTGTTAGATGCTCTTGATCCTGGAGTGGGGATCTATGGACCAGGTTCCTGTCACCCAAGCCCGAAAACCCGAATCCCCTGACACCTCTGGAAGCCTTCCTTCTCTTTTTCCCTTGGAGAAGAAGAGCTTAAGGCTTGGGGTCTAGTTTAGGGGTTCTGGGTTAGGGTCTAGGGAAATGTGTTTAAGTACTCATGAACCCTTCACTTCCGGCATACTCAACCTAGACCCCCGCACCCCAAAAAATGAACTCTTTCCCCAAGCCCAAGGACCCAGAGCAGGAACCCTGAAGCCACTTGACGCAAACCCTTAACTTGAAGAGCATTGTGACTTGAAACGCCCTTAACCTGAAACACCCTATCTTCCAAACAGACTCCTACAAGCCGCACGTCTTCCCTGACTTCAATAGAACAAGAACTCCCTTTGCAAAGGAGAGCCTGACATGTCTACCCCCCACGACATCACCCTTCTAGGCCCAAAGCCAAAGCACTGAAGCCACACCCTGCAGCCTGAAGGTGCAGGTTTACCACGCGTCAAGCCGTCAAGCCCGAGAAACCCCAACGTCTATCCTACGCCCTAAACCTACCGGAACCTCCCAAAACCTACTTTTTGGTAGGGTCCCTATATTTTCCATATTAGGGTTTACAATAAGAGCCTACAAAAAAAGTAGGGTTTGGTGGTTTAAGGTAAGCTTCAGACCAGACCTTCGCCCTGAACCTCAAACCCGCTGAGCAAAACAACCGACCCCTAGACCTTAGCAAGGCGGTTTAAGGTTTAGGGTTTAAGGTTTAGGGTTTAAGGTTTAGGGTTTAGGGTGTTCTTAAACGCTGCGCCTTTGACCTTCGCAAAAGACATCTTTAGCCCGCAACCTCAACCCCGAAGCCTGTACCCAGGCAACATATTTTTGAAACTATTCTTGCACTGTCACGCTTTCAAGAAGCCCTTTATGGTCACCCTTTATAGTAACGAGGCCTTTCAAAAAGTCCTGTACGGGAACGCTTATAGGAGGCCTACACCCCAAACCCAGAACTTTCCAAACCCTGAACCCTAGATCTCTAAACCCTATAAACCCTAAACCCTACATCCCCAAACCCCCTAAACCCGAGATAGATCCCTAAACTCTACAAACCCTAAACCTTGAACCCTACGTCCCTAAACCCCCTAAACCCCACACCCCTTCCCCAGAACTTCTGGGAAGGAGATCGGTCTCCGGGAGCGGGTGCATCTGCTCGTTGAGCCAAAGGGCGAGAGCTTCGACGCGGAACGAAGGGTCTGGGGGTTTGGTGTGTAGGGGTGAGGGATTTAGGGGTTAGGGCTTAGGGTGTAGGGATTTTGGGTTTTTGGGATGTTGGGGTGAGGGATTTTGGTGTTAGGGCTTAGGGTGTGGGGGTTTTGGGGTTTTGGGGTTTAGGGTTTCAGGTTTGGGTTTACGGCTCGGGTTTGAAGGTTTCAGTGTTTAGGCTTTAGGGCTTCGGGTTTATGTTTGGACCAGGTTTGCTATCACCACTGTCATGATCAGTGTTGCCTCCTTCTTGCTTCTTCCTCTTTCGTATGTGTGGGTTGTATTGCTGTTGTTTTCGTTTCATTAGTGTAATAAAGTAGAATTTAGGGCTCTATATCCCCCATAGTCATAGCAATACTTGGGGTGCGGTTCGGGAGTTTCGGATTGAGCCTTGGGTGAAGTTTCAAGGGGTTAGAGTCTGGGGTTTGGGGTTATAGGGTTTTAGGATTATAGGGTTTAGGGGTTTGGGCTTGGGGGTTTGGCGTTATGGGGTGTTGTAGAGAGTCTCTTCAATCCCACATTTTATACCAGGAGTATAGTAGACCATAGAATGGTATACACTAACCCTAGACACCCCCCCTTCTGAAGCCGAGGAATGGAGTCTTGACTTATGCCGGCCGCCGGTTTACTGTCGACCAGATCATCGAAATGCACGCTGTCACGTGCCCCCGGCATGACCGTCAGACCTCGGTGATACTGCTGATGGACAAAATCTTGCATTACCCATTATAAGGAATATACCATAGCTCCCATAGTTTAGAGTCCTTAGGGTCATGCAGGGTTTTGTCCATCAACAGTATAGGGGAAAGGGTCAGGTAATTGGAACGAAGCTCCCCTTCATAGTCCGTTTATGTTGACATCGCACCATATCCAAGACCCTGTTCTAACTATTGAGGCCCACATATGTCGGTACTACCACAGTTGCATGATGTCTAATATGGGGCCTGAATAATTATCACTATGTACTATTTTGGCGGCTCCCTGTTATCATTATAGTATATACCCCAAAACCTTATTCTTGTTATTAAGGCCCCCATATTAAGCCCCCTCCCCGCCCACAATGCCCCTTAAAGTAACCCTGGTTGATTCCTTTTTCAACCCCTTATTGTAGCCAATAAGGCACATTAGGAGGGCAGGAGTTTCATTTGAAAGCCCGGACTTCTGCGGTTTTGTGAGGCCGAGATGCAGCTTCTGTCTTAAGAGAGGAGCTTATATTAGATATAGGGTTCCCTTGACGGGTTCCTTAAAAAGGGATACCTTAATGGTTCTATGATAGGGTTCTGTAGTATAGGGCCTTGACTTGAAAGGATGAGGGTTACTAAAAGGGCTACTATAAGGGTTTTTGTGTAGGGGCCTTAGTAATTACCTATATTGGGGCTCCTTATTTTACGTATCGTATAATGAGTTCCAAAGCCCTATTCCAATTATCAAGGCCCCTTAGCCTAGTAGCAGAGTAGGTAACCTTTCAGCTTCGTTGAAACCCCTATATAGCCAAAAAGGTTAACCTCTAGTTCCCCATGATACCCGACATGTAGGCTGCAGTATACCTCAAAACCCGGTCTTAAGGCCCCTACATAGCTTCCGGTTGTTTCTTCTCAAAGGGAGCTATGGTTTAGTAATTGAAATCCTAACCTGACAGGAGCCCTAAACCCTAAGCTCACCCTCTCAAATTCCCTATGAGTATAGGGTTTAGTAGCCGAGCCGTGCCGGAGGTGCGATCTCTGTCGGAAAGCTGTGGAAAGAACAGCGCGGCTCTGGACTTGCGGTAACGGTGCCAACACCATTCTGCACGACCCTGGGCGGCTGTTTAGGGTTTTGGGGTTTAGGTTTAGGGGTTTAAAGGTTGGGGGTTTAGGGTTTTGGGGTTTGGGGTTTAGGGTTTTGGGTTAGGGTGATGATGGGTTTCTGGGATTTCGGGATTGTCTGGAAGGGAGCAACAGGGCTTGTTCTGGGTTCTAGAGAGTTTATGGGATTATGGATTATGGGTTTTGAAGGGATCTATCGGGCTCTAAAAGGATTCTGTAGAGCTGTCTTTGAGGTTTATGGGCTTGGGGATTTAGGGGCGGCTGGTCATGGGGTGGTTTAAAGGTCGAGGGTTCAGGCTTTAGGGGCGCATCTGGACGACATTTATGGGGTTGGCCTAGGGACTGTAGGCTGTGTACACATTGGTGGATGTTTCCAAAGGCCCTTGTCACCCAACAATTGGAAAAGCCAGTGTGAAATCCTAAATCCAAACCCGTAGACTCTAACTGACCTCGCAGACCCACTATACAATGCCATAGACGTAATGCCCAGCAAAAACCTTGCGGAGCCATCAGAAAGCCTTTCCCACACCCGTATGGAACCATTGTAGAACCCCTGTGCAAACCCTCACAATGTCTCCAAGCCTCAAATCCCAAACCCAAACCCTGAACCCTTAAACTAAACCGTAGACCCCTAAACACTACATCCTAACGTTTTGTTCTGGTACCCCGTTACATACTGAGCCCCGTAGAGACCAGACGTGGCCTCAGACTTCTTGAGCCGAGGCACAGTCCTACGATATCTGCCAGCAGTGTTTTCAAACGGCTGGAGGCTAAAAGGGGTTTAGGGTTTACGGGTTCAGGGTTTAAGGGTTTCGGTTTTAGGGTTCAGGAATTTCAGGGCTTAGGGTTTGGATTCCCTTGTTTGTGGCTTTAGGGATTTAGAGTTGGCTTGAGATTCGGCTGGAGACTAACGGCGGTCTTGTAGGCTTCCGTAAGGGGTGTTGTAAGGGTTCTGCATGGGTTCAGTCTGCCTTTTGTAAGAGGTTTTATGAGGCTTCTTTAAGAGTTTAGTGAAGGCTATCTAGAGTTAAGTGTTTGTTTTTTTGGCCGGAGGTTGGGTAGAATTTCTGGCAGGGTTCCTTTCTGCATCTGTAGGACTTTCAGGGCTTGCGATTTGGTGTTGTGGCCTTAGGGATTGAGGTGTAGAGCTGAGTTAGGATTGACCTGGGCTGTCGCATGCTGCATATGATGTGCTACTGTTGATGATATATATATATATATATATATACATCCTGCATTACCCATAATAAGGAATGTAACATAATTTCCATAGTTTAGGGTCCTTAAGGTAATGCAGGATTTGTATCACGACGCCGTGAATGGCCCTGAACCGAAAACTCCGAGACGCTAAACCTACCACCTTAGGTTTAGGTTGTTAGGGTGTTCGGGGTTTAGCGTTGGAGCTTTCGCCATCAATGTGATAGCACCCGTTAGCGCCCTACATAAGCCTTGCGAGCGATCAGGGTCAGCTGGGAACGGCCAAGTGAATGGCCACACGGCAGCGAGTTAACTGGCCGACGCCCGAAATTGCAGGATTCAGTTAGATTCCTAAACCGTAAACTCCCTGAACCCTCTAAGCCCTGAACCCTGTTCCCAGAGAAGAAACAGGCCATGCGCACTAATTTAGGTTGTTGAGGTTAAAGCCATAGGAAGGTTTGAATGCTTCGAAAGAATGTACACTGATAGTTCACATCCAATTTTACTCTAGTTGTACTACTCCTATACTTAGACTATCGTGAGGCTATAGGTCTTACTAATATGCCGTGACGATCATTATAGCATAAGTACTGTATAATCTCTGCAAACTGAGCTGCCCGACGTATTGACACGCTGGCTGGAAGCGACCTCGACGCTAAGCCCTGATCTGGGGTAAAACGGACGTTTCATGTTTGCACAGAGCAGTAGCGGGTAGATTACAAATAGCGAAAGAAATGTGCTTGCAAGAGGATTCCGCGAGTGTTGAAACTTCGGGGCACAGCCTGAAACGCTAAAGGCAGTCCTAATTCGTTGACAGAAACCTTGAGCCCGACCACTCCAAACCCTGAGCACTACACCCGAAGACCCAAGCCCTCAACTGTGGGACGCCGAGCCGTAACCTGACTGGTTCTCACTCGCGTCACCGATGCTCGTGCTGCATCGAAAAAGGTCGTCGCAGGGCTTACGTAGTATGGGAACCAGAATAATCAGTAGAACTATTTATTAGGGTTCCTTTTTATGCAAAGTTATGGTAGAGGATACCCCGAAACCTCATTCTGATGATTCAGACCCTATAATCGGTAGGGGATCGTCGTTTATTCTGGGTTTGTTAGGGGAGTATGCTAATGAAAATCCTGCTTTGGTCGCGGAAGGGGCTTGTTGCATTTGTGCGCTTGTAGCAAACACCTGTGAAGTTACCAAGATCTCACACTTGAACCCCATCCTACATGCTAAACTCTGGAGCCCAAAACCCTGAGAAGTACCCTGGCTTTATCACTGTCACTCCTAGGTCTAAACTGATCGCACATTACCTTGTCACCTGTAAATCCCAACTCAAAGCCTCGGTTTCACTATATATCACAGCGTGTGGATATTAATCTCTAGATTAACTGCCGGTTTGAATGCCAGACAGTGCGTCAACTGCATTCAAAAGGGGCAAAGGAGCATTCACTTAGTTGTTGCCAATGAGTTTTTGACACTATGTAACGGGAAGCACCATAGGGACAGTCGTGGCCATGATGCGCAGAATGCTACGAGCTGTATGGAACTCTGGTCATCATGGTCATGGTCGTAAAGGTGCAATCGAAGGCCTATAGGCTTCAAACCATCAATCCGCTAAGCCCAGGCCCTGCACCTCAGGCCCTCAACCTTGCAACCTAAAACCCTGAACCCCCAAACTCCCCAACATCTAAAGGACAAGAAATCCCAAAAGTGTGGCGTTTCGGAGGCCTCCGAAACACGTTCCGTGGCATTGTCTCCATTCACCACTGGTTTCGAAAGCTTCGGAGCTTGCGCTTAATCTAGAAGCTGAGTCAGCAATACCATTCCTAGCAGTTGCTTCTTGTGACTTCAGCATGCCCAAAACCCCTAAACCCTAAACCCCGAAGCCCTACACCATAAACCCCTAAGCTCATGCGGGAAGCAATGCCATTCCCGAGGGTTCCTAGTTATGAGTGGAGTATACATGCCCCGCACCCTATTGCAATCCTATTCTACTTGCTCGGGTTCTAGTGCGGTTTCAGCATATGAGGGCTCTAACGCAAGCTCTACTTCAGGGGTGAATGAGCTTGACCTGATTTTGTCTTAAACGCTGAACCCCCGACTGAAAGTCCTTCACCCACATGTACGGTATGCTATCGAGATGTTACTGTACATAGGGCTCTTTTTGAATTGGGATGAGGTTGGCCTCCTTTTCGGGATAAGCTGTGTACCCTACGGGTGCATCGCAGACAGACTTCGCGGTCCTGTGAGCGAGGTGCAGAGTGAGGTGGCCTTGCCGGATGTAGCCGAGGCACACTGCGAGAAGGTCGGGGGCCCGGGGGTGGGTTCTGGGTTCGGATGAGTTAGGGGTGTTGCGATTAGGAGGTTTAGGAGGGTTAAGGCGGATTTGGATTCAGGCCTAAGGTGGTCCCCCCTTTCGATGAAGCCTTTAGTGAGCCCGTTCAGCATCTGTTTTCCTGTGTGTCTCGACCTCAGAGCTGAAAAGCCTTGCTGCGATGGTCAGGGTTCAGGGAACTCGGGTTTACTAGGTAGGGCTTTGGGACATTTTATATTTTCCCTTATTGGGATTAAGAGGATCTTATTGTACTAATCTTTCTCAACAGCTCTAAACGCCCCACCTAGTTTAGGGTCAACCAGGTTTTGAGTTTAGGCTTTAGGGTTTTGGGGTCCTCCGATGTCGGGGTTGAGAGTCGAGTAGAGTTGAGGGTTTAGGGTTGGGGTTTGGTTTAGGGCTCAAGGGGTTTAGGGTCCTAGACAAGAGTTTTCGGTTTGTGGGTTAGGGTTCAGGGTCCTAGGGTTTAGGGGGAGAGACTTCTGTGACCTTGGTTTTTTCTCAGATTTCCACCTTACTCATGCTGTAAGCCCCAAGCCATATCCCTAACTTAACAACCCATACCGCCAGCAGCCCAGTTGTAGCTCAGTGACATAGGATTCCTGTCTTGCGGACTGCTACTAATCACATTTTCATGGTGCCTGAGGACTTCTTGTTCAATTCGTGGCATGGGGTGGGGATCTAGAGAACACAATCATAACGGGAACTCCAGAAGGTTGGAATATGGTTTCAGGGTAGGATACCTTGTAATTTACCATAAAGGGTAGAGGATAACCATATTCCAACTTTCTGGCTTTTACCTTAGTGAATAGGCTAGGGCTAAGGCGGCTAATGGCAAGCTTCTTGGAATCGAGGCCTGGGGAAATTTTGAAGGCTTCAGACGAAGAAGTTCACAACTTTAGCGCTTTTCCACAATGCTCTAAACCGTGCATCCCAAGACAACAACCCCTGCTCCTACACCTTGAATTTCAATACATCGGACTCTTCGGCTCGGGGATCACGGGGCTTAGTCGGTATAGTGTAGTTATGCGTTCTGCTTATCCTGGCAGTATCTGGCAGTGCTTCTAACCCCATTTGCTCTAAACCCGAAACTGTAAACACCCAGTTAAATTGCAAACGAATATAGGGGCTTAAATAATCGCCAATACTATGGTGGGAGGATCCTTATTCTGATTATAGTATACTGCACCCAAAACCCTATTCTAATTATTGAGGCCGCTATACAAAACCCTACTGACTCCGAACCATGGGGCCGACCTGACCTAAACCGCCAACCCCCGAGGCGCTCGCTAGGTCTCCTTTGGGCTGAAGCGGTATTGGCCCGGCTTCAAGCTTTAGCTTCCCTAAACCCCAAACCCTAAACCCTAAAGCATAAACCCTAAATCCCAAACCCTAAACCCTAAAGCATAAACCCTAAACCCTAAACCCTAAAGCATAAACTGCCGAGAGCGCCGCTGACCATTTGCATGGGCGCTCGAGGCTTCGACCGAGGTCCCCGACCGAGCGTCCCGTCAGAACGGTGAGGGAGGGTAAAGCTTCCCGGTATACGAGGACTGTAGTGACGCCGCCCCGCGAGTGACTTCTTTGCCGTCAGGCAATAAAGAAGAACCTCAAAATTGATGTCTTTTTGTCTTTTTTTTGGGGTGCCCCCCCCCCCCCCTCCCTGCCCCTGCCTGCCCTGCCGCCCTGCCCTGCCGGGCCCCCCCCCCGCCTGCCCCGCTTTGCCGTGCCTGCCCTGCCCTGCCCTGCCCTGCCGGGCCCTTGCCGCCGTTCAGCCGTGATTTCTGGAGAAATATTGTTGTTTACATGTCGAGCTGCGAAAGAAGCAGAGAGCAAGAAAGCCCCCCTTGAGGGGGGTTTGGGGGGTGAACCCTAAACCCTAATTGAGAATAGTTGGGGTGGTTGGGGCGGGACTACATGCTGACGCAAGCGCGCGATTAGTGGGCGCGCCCCTTATTCCTAAAGTAAAAGGCGCACCCACCGCGCGCATACTGTTACACACCCTAGACCCTAAAGCCCAAACCCTAAGCCTTAAAGCATAAGCCCTACACCCTAAACCCGAACCCCCAAATAAACCCTAAAGGCTAATTGGGGTTTATGGGTTTGGGCCCCAGGTCCTCTCTACAGATGTTCCCGCTGCCTTGGAGGATCTGAGCCGGCGCCCCAGAGGGTTTAAGGTTTAGGGTTTAGGGTTTTAAGGTTTGAGAGGTGCAGTGGGGAGGTCTGAGAAATGAAGACACAAACGTCGAGGTCGGACAACGTATTTCGAAATAGTAATCTCCTGATTGTCTGCTGTAATCTGCCTCCCAAACTTTGTCCAATTATTCAGGCCCCTATGTTAGGGTTGAGGGTTGGGAGGGAATAAAGCATGGAACTCTCCGGGTGTTGTTGCTGGACGGAGCCGCCTTTTCGCCGCAAAACTCTCGCCATGCGTTTTATCGGATGGAACTGGGGGCACGGTGTTCCGCATGTGCTGGAATTCGGAAGTGCTTCGGCAGTGGTTGCGGGGTCAAGGCTTAAGGCTTTACATGGGTTTAGGGTTGGGGCTGTGGGGCCCTAAGAATGGACCGGGGTGCATATGTGATGCATGGCGGTGCCTGTATCGCTAGCGTGCCGGGGAAGTTTAAGAAGATGAGTTGAAGAACTGTTTGGATGAAGAGCTTTCCGCGTTGTGATTTGCAGGCTCCGATGCCTTCGCCAGCATGAAGGACTGACCGGAACAGATGTGCCCACTTGATGTTGCAACCTAGCATCTCCGCATCTTTCAAAGCCTTTGAGAAGGACCCCCCCCCCTCAAAGAAAGCTATGTCTGCTGATACTCGTGAAAGCAAGGTATGTTTTGGGGCAAAGAATATCGGATTGACCCATGAGGTGAACCGTTGGCGTCGTGTCATTACACTCCTACGCCCTGAAACCAGGCCTTCCAGTGGGCCCTTTTTTCCTTTTTGTAGTCCCAGGTTCCTTATAAAGTTACCCAATAC